AAAACACACATGTGTGGTTGGAAGCCCAAGGATAGATTCTCGTGATATGAATGAGATGATGGGAAAGGACCCACTTGTTTGCGCTAAAACGTGTATTGACAGTATGCCAAATTCAGGACTTAAGGGTGAGGACTATCTTGCTCTTTGGCGTAACAAAGATTCGGACATAGGTGTTTTCCCGGAAGTAACAGGCGATTGCGAACAAGATTTTGAAGCTGAAAAAGCTGAAAAGGCGGGCCACGAAGCTACTATTCTAACCGTGGAGGACAGTGGTCTCAAAAGGTTCTGTGTAAAGGAAAAGACAAACGTAGCTACATTTGCTTCAATAAAATTCGATTGCACAGAAGGTCTCTTTGTCAAAAAAGTGGCAAACGGGAATGCTGGTTCTCAACTTAGAGTCCGTTGTTCCAGAAGTCTTTATCATGAGGAGGCAAACGTACATGAAGAGGCAAACGTATCTGCAAGTCGTTCAGTAAAAGCTGGCCGCACCAAAGTTGTTTGTAATGAGGAGGTAAATGTGCAGAAAGCTGAAGGCGCTCTTGACCACGTCGTGTGTGCTCTGACTGAGTCAGACGTACGTACGGTCCTCGAAGACTCGGGAAAATCTGTCTCTGACAACGATGACTCGTTTGTCACTGCTTTGTCCCAGAACCCAACGGAACGTGTTGTGTCGTCAGGTACAGCCGAGAAGGCCTCCAAGACCACTCGTAACATTTTGTCTAGCGGGATCCCATCCAGAACTGCAGCAAGCGTTTGTGATAAGTCCGGTATAATGGACGTTTGTAATACGTTCGGGAAAGCGGATGTTTGTAAATCATCCAATATAGCGGATGTTTGTGATAAGTCCGGTAAAACACTTGAGACTATCGTAGACATGTTTCGTGATGAGTCCGGAGACAACTATGACGACCCGACCTCCCGACTCGGTATAGTCAATGAAGACGAGTGGTCACTGAAACAGTGTGAACCGTCACGGGAGGACAGTGGGGAGCTCTCTTCTCTCCTCTCTCATGAGTCTCTGTCTGTGACCATACCGGACTCGACGGCTTCGGGTCTGTGGAGCAGCGACAGCAGCATTATCGCCTCGGGCGTGGCCGGCGGGCTTCTATTCCCGTGTGCGCTGGGCGACGTGGGTGTGGTGAGGACGACGTCGTTTTTGTCTTCTGACAAGCCTGGCAGGACGCGACAGCAGAGTGGTGATGACGATGTTGGTGGTCGTCGTCATGAAATACTCAGTGGTCAGGCGATAGGAAGGTGCACCCGTGTAGAGGAACAGACCCAGGTTTTCACTTTGTCTGGCGATGCCATTGTCGAGGATCGGCACGCCGTTGTTGAGAACTCGAAAGCTGTTTTAGAGAAGGGAGCAGCTACTTGTCAGTCTGTTCCGGAGAGAAATGGGCTGCCCCGAGAGTACTGTTCACCGTTTTCGACCCAGTGTAATTCTGCCGGCGCTGGGGTGTCTGAAAGCGACAAAAAATCGGGAGACACTATCGATGGTAGAAACGTGAAGGATGGAGCCGAGTTCTGTCTCTGTCGACATCTTGGACAATTTGGTCCCTCCGCTACTTTGCTGAGCACAGATGGAAACGTTCCAGAGGTTTCTGGAGTCTGTCAGGACTGTAGCAGTAATAGCAGCTTTGTACAGAATGTGTCGTCGACAGGAAAGACAAATACGTCAATGGGGGAAGGGACAGGATGTGTATTGAGCTCCCAGTCTACCGTCTGTCTCGTCAGTTCCGAGTCCTTGTCTAACTCTATCCCACTCGTCTCCACAGAGTGTCGGGACAGTAATTCTTTTAGGTGTAACAACTCTGAACCCGGTTGCGACCCTAGTAAGAAAGAACCGAGGTCTGTGGGCGATTGCATCTCAGAACAAAACACAACTGAACTTTCTTGTCGCGTGGCCGTTTTTTCGCCCCCTTCCTCGTACTCCTCGTGTTCTCCGAGTGATTCCGTGCTAGACATCGCCGCATCCTCTCTCGGGGTATCTCATGACGGTTGTTGTGAAGAAACGTATGATCAGAAGCCAGCGTCTTTCCCTGTGTCACCCTCCAACAGCTCGGAGAAGACACGGGCAGTGTCGGTTCACGCCGTCAGTGGAGAGCACAGACTGCTGATCCAAAAGGACAATGTGGAGGAGGAGGGACGTTTGTGCTCCCCTCCCAATAGGTCATCCGAGTCTGTGTGTTCTGACCACAGGCCCGTGCTAGAAATGGGTGGGGAAATGGATGGAGGAAGAGATAAGGAAAGAGGTGGGGAAAGGGCTCTTAAAATTGGTGGAGGAAGAGATAGGGAAAGGGGCGGAGAAAGAGCTTGTGAAATGGGTGGGGAAAGAGACCGTAGTAAAGGAGTGGTTTCCAGCTCCGTCTCACATGACCGCGGTTTGTCTCTCGCGAGAGGACGTAAAAGTAACAGTGACAGGCGTGAAGGGAAAGGAAAACGGTGTCATACTTCTCACAGTTCCAAGACCACTCGTGAGTCGAAGCCGTCCTCTGATAGACAAGGGCATCTTCTCTCTAAACCTATTAGTGGAGAGAGAGATCGCGAGGGGGTAAAGAAACGCCGTGTTCCTTATAAGACGCCGTGCAGATCAGAGTCGTCTTCAACGAAACAGAGCCGCAATACAGAACTGGAGGTGGAAGGCAGGAGTGACCCGTGCGTCGATAGCGGTTATAGAACTGCCCAGCCTGAACTTCTGGGGTCACACGGGGGTGAGTATAGAGGGAGTACTGCGGAGACAGGTCAGGTTCCCATCCCGTCCAGTACGTCTGGCAGATCAAGACGTACTTCGACCAGAGAGCTCATCTCAGTGACGGAGGCCGTCATCTCAGGGAAGAACCCAGGGTGCCTGACGCCGAGTTCTGATGTGCCAGGTAGCGTTTTTCATGGCCTGTGTCCCAGCCCATCTTCAAGCATTAGACCGTCCATTGTCTGCCCATCCCAGCTACTCGAAAGAAGCTATTACAGTGATACAGTCAACGATACAGTCAATGATATTATTATTGTCAACGGCACATTCAAAGATATTGTCAACGGTACATTCAACGATATAATCCACGATACATCCAGCGACACAATCAACGACACTACCGTTAGCGATGATACAGTCCGCGATACCGCCAACAACACAGCCAGCGATACAACGAACTGCCAGAACTCAACGCAGATTGTTGACAGTACTTTCATGTCATACGACCGTTCCGACTGGGCTGTGGAGGAGATGTACAACACAGCGGCGGACTTCAAGACCGGAGTGACGTCATGCTCTCAGCAGTGTGACCCCGGGGTGTCGTCATTCCGATCAGTGGGAGAATCCCTGATCCTAGCAGCGCTGTCTGAGCGGGCCAGCGAATTGTTTGCCAGCCCGTCTGCTAGCGGCTGCCAAAACGAGGCCCCTCACAGTGGCGGGGCTATTGCAAATACGACAGGGATATCTTCCCATCAGACGTGGGAGGATCCAATTGTTCACTCAGAGACAAAGTTTAGAGATTCTCAGGGTGAATCTGAAAAATTCCAATCTGAACGCCCGGGGACTGAAGATGCCCGATCCGAATATGAAAACGTTCGGACTGAAAATTTACAAACCGAATCGGAAAACGCCCAGACTGGAAATAGCCAAACCGAATCTGAACACTTTCAGTCAGAAAATGCACATACCGAATCTGAAAGCTACCAATCTGAAAGTTTCCGGACGGACTCTAAAAATGTTCAAACCAACTTTCAGAACTGCCGAAGTGAGTCTGATGAAAACTCCCATGCCGAGTCTGACAACATGACATTGTGCGAGTCTCAAGACGGTGAAGAGACCGCTCTATGGACCACCGCCAGTTTCCTCACGGAATTAGATTTTACCGAGGACGTTGAAGGTATCGAGGAACTGGAATATATCGAGGAACTTGTCTCTGCCGAACTGACCAGTTTTGAAGACAGTACTATTTCAAAACGATTCGGGAGCTCTGAGAAAAGTTCTTCTTCTGTCTCCGACTCTTCTGTCCACGAAGCCAGCACCAGCAGTAGTTCAGGGTACAAAAACTCTCTGCAGCGTGCTGCCAGGCTGGGCGAGGAGCTCGACGCGAAGGGACAAATAGACAGCGTCAACAAACACAGCAAGAGAAGTCGTGGTGGTCGCTCCTCCAGTCGGGCCGACGTGAACGAGAACAACGCGGGTGGGGACCGTGGTCAAGGCAATAATAGTGACGTCGAAGATGATATCGATAACTGAAACAAGAGAAGAAAAGCATAGCGGCATTGATGGCAGAGCACAAGTAACAACACAGACGAAAGTGCACATGTAACCGTGCCGGCAAAAATATCAGTGTGGATAATACTAACAATGTCATCGGTGCTGATGAAAATAATTAGGCTGACAAAAGTAACAACAACGATGTGTGTTGGCTGGTGATTACATAAGATCTGGATCTAAGACCAGGACTAGAGTGCATGCATTATTCAGTTGGGTTGTTGGGGGGGGGGGGGTATGGGTTGGGGGTATGACCTCTCCTGGACTTCTGAAACGGATGCAGTCCTAATGCAGTTGGACATGAAAATATAGGTGCTGCCGCTTCTTTTCCGATTTTAGTTGAAAGTGGAGTGAAACAGTGGAAACCGAGTTGAGACGTTCAAAAATTGTCGAGAAATTTCAGTTCGAGAGTTTGATTTCGCCATCAAAGATGGTGTCTCTTACCTGAATTTGGACTGGTATAACGACGAAAAACAAAACGGCCAAACCTGGCAGCGCTGATATTCTGGATGTCCACAAAGTTCAACATGCATAGGATGGAGCTCCACAAAGATGGCCGTGTTTAGATTTGGGAATCCTCTAAAACATAAACTTGTGATACCATGATTAATGTGTGTAGGTCGGAGATTCGCTAAAATGAACGTGTGTAGGTTGGAGCTCCAATGAGATGGAAGATGTGTTGATTAGAGATACTCGAAAATGAGCGTGTGTTACACTATAATGAATGTGTAGGTTGGAAATCTCCCAAGATGAACGGGTGTAGGTTGAAAATCTCCCAAAATGAACCCGTGTAGGTTGGAAATCTGCAAAGATGAACGCGTGTAGGTTGGAAATCTGCACAGATGAACGCGTGTTGGTTGGAAATCCTACCAAGCTTCTCTGCCGTCTTGCTACGGGCTTCCTGTGGGCTAGTTAGTGTACGTCCTGCCCCAGTCTTACTCCAGGCCTTACGCCCCCTCTCCCAGGTTATTCGTGTTGGCTTCTCATAGGTCCTGTTTTCCATTATGCAGTCTGAGTAAAAGTAAAGCGTCGCCACCCACCTCCTCATCTCCCTTTAGAAGGTTTGGGGTCACAATGGGGCTGCAACTGTGTCTTACAGAAACAAACAGTGGGTTCTGCTCGTCGTGAAGTGAGAAGGTGTTTGGGTAAAAACTGTACTTTTACTCAATCTGTCGACAATTTTGTAGTTTCTTTATTTTCATTTTGTTGACAAGTTTGAACTTTTCTGCTTTACTATTATACGTAATGGTAATCAGTGTGTGTGTGTGTGTGTGTGTGTTGTTTTTTAAAGTGTTATAATTATGAACTTGCTTTTTGGTGTAATGTTATCTGTTTGAACTCTACTTGTATAATGTACATATACATAATTGAATTTGTGTGTTAAGGCATGTTGAATTTTCCTTTTCGTGTGCTGTTTTAGCTTTGATTATTTTCCTTTTGTAACGTTAAAAATCCTTGCATGCACGTGAAATTTCTTAGTTTGCTTTTTTTAAGACTGTTTGTTTTGTTCTTTTGTGTGCGTAAGAAACTGATTTTTTTTTAAAAAAGAAAGATTTTTAGACATACTGTATTCGGTGGTTATTTTGCCTGGTAAAAATATATCCATGTAAGTTCACATACTTTGTCATCTGATGTCAATTTACATTCTAAGTCTTAGTTAAGGTCTTTGTTGCATGTAAAGTGCAGCTACTTTGGAAATTGAGTTAGCTTTTGGGAAGTTTGTTTCATTCGAAACGTGCAGTTTCTTTCAGGTTGCTCAATCCTGAAATTTGATCAGTTATGCTGTTGTTTTATTCTTTTCTATTCTTTTACTTTTTTCTCTTTTTCTTATCTTTTGTTTTGTTTTGTTTTGTTTTGTTTTGTTTTGTTTTGTTTTCTTATCTTTTGTTTTGTTTTGTTTTCTTTTCTTTTTGTAGTCCTCATTATTAATTAATCCTGTTCAACACCCTCTGCTCTAATTTCATGGACTGCTTTACCATGCCATTGAATAATCTGTGCTTTTGTTTGTATAAATTGATCCACTTTTATCAGCTAGCAATAGAAGAGAACATTACCAAGAACACAATTGCACTATCACAAAAACTTTCGTTAAAAAAAATTTCACTTTAAATTAAAATGCTGCTGTGACTGTAAACTGTCCTTATGAATCAAATACTGGTTATTACACATGTGACTAACTTTGAGTTATGCTTTCTGTTATATTTGTGGCTTTCATTCTTCCTAGCTCAGGTCTATGAGTGATGGGTGTTAAATTTCGAGGTCCTGTCTCTTAAAATAACCTTACAGTATTGCACAGGAAGTTGAACTCATGCAGTAAAGTTATATCATTTGTCTTATTTGTTTCAGAACAATGCTGAGGATGATGATGAGGAGCAGTCTGAAATGCTGAATGGAAACCACCAGGCCAGCTCACAAGAAGAAGACCGTGGTTCGGGAGGACCGCCCCGCCCTGCTGTCAGACAGTCTGTCGGTGCAGTGGGGAACGGGGATGTTAGCGATGATGATGATGATGATGAAGTTGATGATGATAATAATGATGACAACTCTGGGCTTGGAGCAGAAGGGAAAGCTGTGGCGGATGCTACGTAAGTGTTGTGGTGAAACTGATTATCCGAATCTGTACAGCGCAGTTTTGGGTGGAATCAGTGACGTTGTCTATTTGATGATGATGACTCTGGGCTAGGAGTAATTGACTCATGAAAACCAAATGGTTTTAAATGCCATAAGCTTTATTTTGAGAAATCGTTATAAATTTGTTTTTCCATTTTTCATTTTGTAATCTTTATAATATTATTTTTATAAAATTCTGGCGGCCCAATCTTTGCGTTACGATTCAATTTTCATGAGAACATGATGGAGCTCAATTGCATGATTTGGAACATTTAAGTTGATTAAATGGAAGGGTTTGATTTTGATTGCCACTAATTGTTATAAAATATTTCAAAATGAGCCATCAGTATCCTATTTCAATTTTTAAACCTGTATTCACCCATGGTGCACAGCTGCACAGATAAAAGCAAAATAGGAATCCCCCAAGCATACCTGACTTATTTCTGACACTTTGTATCGTTTTAAAATATGAGACACTTTTTTTTTCAAGGAATTACATCTCCAGTGTATTGTGTGTTGAGATTCCAAATTACAACAATTTGGTGCATTCCCAAGTGATCTGGCTTTTTGTAGTTTCAAAGCTTATTGTATAAACACTGACACTTTTTAGAGGAATGACTAGGGTGGCAAAAAACTGCATGTGTGTGAGGGGGGTGGGGTGGAATAGGGTTGAGGGAGGGTTTGAGAAATCAGATTTGAGCCACTGCTTTTTGTTTTGGTAAATGTTTTACGGCACTCGCAACTGCATAAGGTCGTATGAACGTGCAGAACTCATTAAACATTTTCAGTTGGTAGGAAATTTTGAATTTTGCCTGGGTGGTGGCCAAAGCCTACTCTTATTGATTTTAGACCATCAAGGGATCTTTAACGTGCACAACTTGCACACAGGACATCCGAAATTTTTCACCCTTGTCCGAGAAGGTTAGGTGTAGATCTTTCCTACCAGAAGATCAGGGTTGTGTGTGGCTGAAAGACAACAGTAAGAAGGAGCCAAGGGGTAGCAGTAGAAAGGCTGCAGAAAGAGTCAGGAGTCTGTTTGATTTTTTCCCCCGTATTTGTTCTTAGTAATTGAATTTCCCTCTGGGGGGTGGAGGGAGTCTTGAACTTGCGTTATTTTGAGACTTTTCTCGACTCTTGACCTACTTAGCTTGGTCGGAGATAGGTGTCCTGCCTTTTGAGCTGCCTCTCTCCCCCTCCTCCCTTTTTTTTTCTCTCTCTCTTGTCTGTGGTTGGAGTGCAGTGGTATGTGCTTCTTTTCTCCTTTTCTGTTGTTTTTGTCTGTCTGTCTCACTCTTTTCTCTGCAGCAAAGGACAATTATTATGTTGATATGCCTCTCTTTACTCTATCAAACATTTTTCTTTCTTTCTCTATCTTTCTCTATCTGTGTGTGTGTTTCTCTCTCTCTGTCTGTCTGTCTTTCTGTCTCTCTATCTGTCTGGAGGCTCTTGTGGTCAAGAGATTGCAGTGTTCACTTTTCATTCAATAGGTCCTGGGTTCGAATCCGGACCGGACGGAAAATTTTCTTCTATAATATTTTTCTGCTTTCACCTCCTTTCCTGCTCTCTAACAATGTTCTGTCGTCTGCTTTCGTTCCCACTTTCTGGTCCCAACCCCTTCACCCCCTTTGCCCCCTCCTATGGGCTCCTGGCTCTTTCTACAGCCTTTTTGCTGCTACTCCTTGACTCCTTCTTACTGCTGCCTTTAAGCCACAACCCTTGATCTTTTGGTTGGTATGATTGAACACCTTGTCTTCTCGGATAAGGGCGAAAAACATTGGAGGTCCTGTGTGCAAGTTGCACATGTTAAAGATCCCTTGATGGTCCAAAATCGATAAGAGTAGGTTTAAGCCGCCACCAGGGCAAAATTCAAAATTTCTTATCAACTGAAAATGTTTAATGTGTCCCGCCCGTTCCTTTGACCGTATGAAGTTTCGAGCGCTGTGAAACACCTACCAAAAAAAAATTAAAAAATTTACCCTCCTATCTCTCCCTCCAGGGAAGCGAACCTGTATGAAGAACCTCGGGAGGCTGTGCTACCTCCAGTTACCTCTTCATCCACCACAACCGAAGCAGCAGCTGCCGCCGTCAGTGATGATGATGATGATGACGACGACGATGATGATGCTGATGATGATAAGGGTGATGAGAAGGAGGACCCGGAAAACGTGTACAGTAGTCCCCCGCCCACTGACAAGATGAAGGTCACCCCACCCCCGGGCATGCTGTATATGGTAGGTCCTATGTCTTTAATGACAGTCACATTCACATGTGGAAATGAAGATTGTTCAAAATGTTCAAAATGTGGCAAAATGTTCAGAGCCAGAACTAGTTTTATTTCGCCATAGCAGAAGCCTCTAGTCATCTTAATCCCTATTTCTTCTATTGCGCTTTAAAAATATTCCTCTCCGCAGCTGCATTGGTCATTGTCAGACATTGACAAATGAATTATAATTATTATTACAAAACATTCATCATCATCTGAAACATACTCTGACAATGATGGTTTTCCTCTCTTTTCTCCCCTTGGATGCTTCTAAAGAACCTGTGTTTCCTTTGTCTTTTCCAGTCACTTATCTGTTCGTTATTTTAAGTTGTTCCTGGTCTAAGCCTGTCTTTTTTCCTTCTATTTTACCAGGGAAAGCAAGGTGCTATAGGCCTTCATATTGATTCAAGTGTCCCCAAAACTGCATGTTTGTCTTGTAATTGTGTTTAGCAGTGAGTGGCTCACACTGGCCTCTCTCAGGACAAGCTCATATTTATTTTCCTTCTACTTTTATGAAATTCTCAACTGTGCCCAAAGAATCCACATGTCTGTTGCCTCTACTCTATGACATTACATGTTGATAGCATTAGGGGGGGGGGGGGGGGGGGGGGGGCGGGGGGCGATGTATTTGATGGGCTCTTCACCATTGATGCTGAAGATATGAGTCGGAGTACCAAATGGGGAAGTTTTTTAAGCAGGGTACTCCACCTATCTGCTGGGATATTGAAACCCATCCCTGCCTGGATTGAAGCAGCCTGCTTCCTCAATGTTCTAAATTCATGGGGTGTGGAAAACATTTACAATTGTGTAGATAATCACAAAGATGGTGTCATGTAAAGTGCGTTAACGTGTGGCTTTGTTGTGTGTACAGAGTCACAAAGTTGACGTGTGGCATTGTTGTGTGTACAGAGTCACAAAATTGACGTGTGGCATTGTTGTGTGTACTGAGTCACAAAGTTGACGAGTGGCATTGTTGTGTGTACAGAGTCACAAAGTTGACGTGTGGCATTGTTGTGTGTACAGAGTCACAAAATTGGTGTCATTTGTAAAGTGCGTTAACGTGAGACATTTTGTGTTTTAAGAGTCACAAAGTTGGTGTCACTTCCGACGTGTAAAGTACATTAACGTGAGACATTTTGTGTTTTAAGAGTCACAAAGTTGGTGTCACTTCCGACGTGTAAAGTACATTAACGTGTGACATTGTTGTGTGTTTGTGGCAGGTTCAAGCCACTCACAAGTACTCAGGAGAAGATGTTGATGAGCTGAACTTTGACCCTGGAGAGGTGATCTTTGTTATCCAGTTTGAGAACCCAGAAGAGCAGGTGGGTCATGACTGGCCTCATGAAGGCATTCATAATGTTGGTTATTGTTGTTGTTGTTGTTGTTGTTGTTGTTGTTGTTGTTGTTGTTGTTGTTGTTGTTGTTGTTGTTGTTGTTGTTGTTGTTGTTGTTGTTTTATTGGTGGTGGTCGTGGTGGTGTTAGTGTGTTGTTTTATTTTTTGTCACAACTTTCAAAAAATTTTGTTTTTAAATCTTGATATTTTGAAACTGGAATTTTTATTTTGGTTAAATTTTTTCAGTTTAAAAAGTCCAAAATGACAATTTGGAAAATTTGTGGTTGGGGTTAAAAAGTATGCAGAAAGTCTTTTAATGAAGATTTAAATATGTGAAAATTGGAAGGAAACCAAAAAGGTAATAAGAAAGTGTAGAGAGTGTATATTCTGTTCACCAGTCATGTTTGTCTTTTGCTCCTTCTGATCGTGTTCATGGTCGTCCGTGTGTGGCTGGAGGGAGCCATTGGTTGGTTCTCCTTTTCTGTCTCTCTGTTTTATGCTGCCTGTTCTGTCTTACTCTTTCCCTACACTTATTGACCATGATTGGGTTGATGCTGTCCTCTTTACTCAAACATGCAATGGTATATAACTGAGTCTGTGTGTGGGAGGTTGGCAGGCTGGTGGGGTTTGCTCCGACTTAATAATAATAGTAGTAATAATAATAATAATAATAATAATAATAATATTCATAATCATAATCATAATCATAATTACTATCATGATATTAAAAATAATAATAATGATAATAATGAAGATCATGATAGTAATAATAATGACAATAATAAAAATATATAATGACAATTGTCACAATTAGAGGTTAATACTAATGACAACATGCTGTAGGCGCCTTACAACTTTCCCACCAAACTTTTTTCATCCTTATCTTTGGTTATTTTTTTGTATATTAGTCTCTAGCAACTCCTCTAATCTTCGGTTCTTCCATGTTCTGTTAGTGTTGCAAGTACTGTAAAACAGTCCC